TAAACCCTTTATGATAGGAAAACATGCAACTGGAGAGAAAAACAAGTCCATTTTATATTTTTCTATTCTATATTTTTAATATTTATCTTTTCATATATTTTTAAATAGGTTACAAGGTGAAGCACCCAGCAGCTTCTAGCACTAGATCTTCCTTTTGAACTATTGACGGAATTAGGCAATTCTGGTTTTATTCCCACTTTTATTTTCTAGCTACAGTTTGAATTTTATTAATGGACTTAATGCTCCACTGTGCTAGGACTTAATGCTCCACTGTGCTGAACACCCTGAACGGTCCCGTATTGCAACAGAAAACATAAACAGCCAGTGCTTCAGGTCAAGTTTCTCTGCGATATCTTCACGTTCAGGATAGTTGAGCTCTATTTCTCCACCATTCTCCATCTCCAAATATGAATGTTTTTGAGATCAGACCTCAAGAAGTAACACTGATAATTTACCAAAATAAATGCAGTACTCTCTGCTGGTTCCAACCAAAGGTCTTTGTAGCCCAGTGTGCAGTCTTTGGCAGTTCTCTGCCAAAACACATGACACACAAATGCAATGTTCCTCTTCAGTAAGGTGAGAACAGCGATACCTCTGTATTCTACAGGGACTACATGCAATGCACTTCGTTAGGACCAGATTCTGCAAGGACTTCTGTCCTGTGAGTAGCACTGAGAATAGTGAAAAAACAGAGAATTTAGAATCTGTGTACAGGCCCCAAGATAGGAACAACCATTGTCATCAGTTTAAAAAGCAATGGAAAAAATAAAATTTGGGATACATAAAAATGCATCAGATTTTTTGAACTTGAGATTTCAACATAATTTTCCACCCAAGCTCATTCACACTGGCACAGGTTGCTAAGGGAGGTTATGGAGTCTCCATCATTGGAAATATTCAAAAGCCATCTGGACATGGTTCTGGACCACCAGCTGTAGGTGGCTATGCTTAACCAGGGAGGTTGGACCAGATGACCTCCAGAGACCCTTCCAGCCTCATCCATTCAGCGGTTCTGTGATAACTGAGCTCCAAAACCAAACAGTCTTAGCCAGAGAACCCTTGCAGGCAGTGAAGTGTGGTGTCAAGCATCCAAGATTACACATTAGCCAGCTGTGACATTTAACAGCACCATAACTTTTCATGCAGTGATATAAGGACCTAATTCTGCCCTGCACTGAATATATTTGGTGAGTCCTGAGTATATTCAGTGTTCATTACCAGTCACGCGTAAAAATGTTCTTGGTATTTTAGAGTTGGATCTTACCCCTCTGAAGTCAGTTTGCCTTTGGCAAGGAGTGGATCAGGCCCTAACAGAACAAGGCTGCAACTCTGTAAAGACTGTATATAGATTTTACTTTAATATAGAGCCCTTATGAAGTCTCAGTAGTGAAATCAGGCACCTGAGGAATTTTATGCTCCAGAAGTTGGTCCAGAATTGAAGAAGGAAAGATGATGAAGGAGAAGCAAACTCATAAGAATGAGATGGGAAAAAGCAGAAGAGAGAATCTAAGAGTACAGAATCAGGAGGAAAAGATGGGCCATGTAAGAAACCCAGAAATGTGAGCAAATGCTTTTTTTGGTCTCTTTTTTCAAAAAAAAGGGAAGAGAAATCTTCATGGGAACTTCCCCCACATCATTAGCAGGCTGCAGAAATTCCGTTCCGTGCAAAGTCTCTGTAGAACCGGACAACTGCTTAGAGAAAATGAAATTGTATAACAAGTTTTTATGAGAGGAGGAGAAAAATGAAAGAGAGAAGGAGAGGGAGAGAAAGAGAAAAAGGAAGGAAGGAAGGAAGGAAGGGAGAGAGAAGGAGAGAGGGAGAGAGAGAGAAAGAAAGAAAGAGAAAGAAAAAGAAAGAAAGAAAAAGAATGAATGAAAGAGAAAGAAAAAATAAAAAAAGAAAAAGAAAAAGAAAAAGAAAAAGAAAAAGAAAAAGAAAAAGAAAAAGAAAAAGAAAAAGAAAAAGAAAAAGAAAAAGAAAAAGAAAAAGAAAAAGAAAAAGAAAAAGAAAAAGAAAAAGAAAAAAAAAAGAAAAAAGAAAAGAAAGAGTAGGGAGGAAAAATTCAGGCTGACTCCAGCATACATGAGCATGTTCAGTAACATACAGAAATGTGGGCACCCCAAGCCTGGTTGACAGTGTTTCCCTCAGCCCCACTGCCTTTAAGGCATGAGTGGATTTGCAGGGCTGACGGTCAAAAGGCTGAATGGAAAATGCAAACTCCTGTCTTCAGTGTTTGCAGTAGGAGTCAAGCCCAGCACCCCAAGAGAGGATGAAGCATTTTCCCAAGGCAGTGCCATTATCTGGGGAGAAAAACAGTGTTTCAGTTTTGGTTTCAAAAGAGCAAAAAGGAGTAACCCTGGTGAGCTGCCTTAAAATTTGTTTCCTTCAGAAAACAACTCCAACAGCAATATCCTCCCACTTTATATATAGTCAGCAAGTGATCTCCTACTCCCAAAAACCCAATTGAAATGTGCAGCACTTACTCCTACCAGCACTGGGTGCTGAATCCAGTGAGCTCTTCCATTCGGACAGAGGCCAGCCTTCTCCAGGAGGTTGGCTCATGTATGGAATGCACAGGGATGGTCAAAACCTGAAATTCAAGACTTTTTTTTCTGCCACACACAACAATGAAGTGTGGCAGAACACAGTTATCAAGTCCACTGATATGTGTCAGGGCAGAAGACAGTGTTTTCCCCTCCTTGGAACTCAGGTCAAGCCCCCTGAAAAACCATCCCATTGACCAAATGTTTTTAAGATAACAAAATAAATAGAATCAACCCTGCATGGTTTTTTGTTCATCCTCTGCTTTATGATCCAGGAGGCTACTCTTAAATTCCCTGTTCCAACCACGAGAGCTACAAAAATAGAAAAATAGAAATGAAAACTGAGCTCATTGGATAAGACTACCCCCACCAAAGTCAAGTTGGCCCTGTGTGGGTTTTGGAGCCCACCCAGGCAGAGCAGCTTGCAAGACCCATGCCTAAGATCACAACATACTCTGCAATTACAGCACAATGCTGACAATAGAGTTTTGTCAGTAAAATAAGAAGAAATAATTCTGAAGACATGTAGGGGATATGTAGGGGGGACTAACTAAATAGAAGAAGCAATTTTGTTCACTATTTTTATGAGCAGTAGAGCAGGCTGACAGAAAGGTTATAGGATGGCACAGTATTCCCATGCACAGATGTCACAGGGACACTACTGCACGTGATTTAAGATTAATCTCTTGAATCAAAATGCCACCATGTACACTAATGAGCAAAAACCTCTCAGAGTAGCCATCCCTGGGGCTCCCATTCCCAGGTAAGAAGCTTGTCTCCATACTATTGTAGAAACTCTCTCAGCAGAGTGCAGTGAGGTTGGTGGTATAATTTGCCCCCAGTTCACAATTTTCCATTTCAGACTCACTGTCTCTGTCTTGGTTTCGGTCTATTTACTCGGAGCCATTTCTTAACAATGTCTAATTTCCTCAAGGAATCCCTCTGAGTCCCCTCTCTTAGAAATGCTGCCATATCTTTTTTTTTAATCACTGAAAGGCACAAATATCCTTCCTGAGCCCTCTTACCATCTAGCCTGATTATATACATAGATTTCAGTTTCCATACATTTTCTACACAGTAGGAGTTCCCAAAATGCAGCCTCTGGGGATACAAAGTGTGGCTCAATGAGATGAAAACAAAGGCAATCAGGTACTGTTCTTACTGTTAATGAGCCTAACCAGCAGGCAGTTATTACTCAGTCTGGAAGACATATGTGGTTGGAATCATAGCACGTTCATTTTTTATTTATAGCGATACACATTCAAATTAGAAATAGCCCTCCAGCAGCTGGCATTTTGCCAGGGCCTGACCATCACTGTGATAAAATTTGAGTATCTTGAAGATACAGAATGCTTTTCGTCACCTTTTTTTTTTTTTTTTTTTTTTTTTTAAATAGCGTTCTTCTCTCCTCCTACTCCAAACTCCCTTGACGATCAAAAGTGGACAATGAGGCTTAATTAATTTAGGATCCTGGCCCTTACTGAAAATGAAAGAAACGAGTCCTTTTGCTTTCTTACTTGGTGGTGAGGTACAAATCAAACATGAGCTGATCTACTTGTAAATAAGCAAAGGCTCAAGCCTTCTGGCAAATAAAAGAGTAGAAATGAACACTTGGACAAGAACCATAAAGAAATGGGTTCTTGGAGAGAATGAACATTACTAGCCTATTAATCCATTAATGGCAACTGTAAATACCTCACCCAAAATCACAGCGAGCCTGAAACATTTAACTGGAGAGGCTCACAGAGCCTGGCAAAGACAATGTGATACAAGGAAACCACAGTAATTAGCCTCACCTTGCCAGTCATCGGTTTCCAATCTAACCCCTCCCCTGAGTTTAAGTTACAAACCTCAATAACTGTGTGGCAGACTTGACAGCAATTAACATTACTCAGCTGCCAGCTGGGTTTTAAAATCTCGCTTCCAAGAGATCTTGTTACGTAGGTTTTAAAAACATCCTGACAGGGTGCTGCTGCACGGGGAGGACCTGGGTTTTGCCTCGCTCAGCTTGGTGAGGTTTTGCGACTAATTTCAGGGGGACCTGATGAATCAGTGGGAGAGGAAGGATAAGTAGCACCGAGCTGTTGTTTGGAGTAGGAAGCTTGGCGTTTTGACGGGTTTGGTTTTGGTTTTTTTCCTGATCTTTTCATCGAGGGGTTTCACAGAAAGCACTATCGAGAATTTTGCTTTATTAGTTTATTCTTTAGTCCAGTGTATCACTACTCGTCTACAGAAAGGAGCACGACATGCTGCGAAGGTCTCCTTGACCCTCACACCTCAGCATTCAAACTTTACAAGTCAAGGAGAACTTTCTAACTCATCTAAAGCCAAGAAATCAGGGTTCTGTTGGAAGATAACTAGCTGGAGTCACACTCCCATCAGATTTAAAACTAGCCCAGCGTGCCGGTGGCTCAGCCCCTGGCTAGGTATGACTGCCGGGATCGCGGCTCCATGCCTCAGTCCCGCTGAGGTCTGACCAGCCCCGACTCCCTCCCCGCTCCCACCTGGATCAGGACGGATCCCTCCCCCGCCGCTCGCGCGCGCGGCGACCCCGCCCCTCCGCGCCCATTGGCTGCGGGGCGGGGGCGGGGCTGTGGCGGGGGCGGGGCCGCCGTCAGCTGTTCGCGGCGCGCCCGGCGGCGCCGGCCGCACTTTGGCCGTGAGGAGGCGGCGGCCGCGGCTCCCGGGACGCCCCGTCCCTGCGGGACGCCCGTCCCGATTCTCGGTGAGTGCCCAGGAAGCCCCTTCGCCACTGGGGCCGGCCGCTCTGAGCCAGGTCTCCGGTCAGCGCGGCGCCGAGGCCGGGCGCGATCGTGACAGGGAAGGGGCTTCGCCTCGGGGCAAATCCCGGGCCGGCCGGTCCTGCCCGGAGTCCTGTGCCTGCGGGGGAGCGAGGAGAAGAAGGGAGCGGGCGGGCTGGGAATGAGCTCGGCTGGCACCGGGAAGGCAGCGATTTGTTGATGCAGGCGGTGGCGGATTCTGCAGGCATCGCTGCCCTTCCCGGGCCGTCTCGCCGGGCTCGGGTATCTCGCTCCACGGCGCTGCCCGAAGGAGCCGCCTTTAAACCTCTTGGCCGGGGGCACATCTGCGAGGCTGGAGCCCGGGCGGGGAGGAGTTAAAGGCGGCCGGTGGTGTCGCGGCGAGGCCGGCCAGCTTTGTTTTGGGACGCTGGCACGCACGTGTGCGCTGAGCCCTCCCTCCGCTCCCGGCCCGCCGCCTGTCAGCGCGGGCGTGCGGCCGCCCCGGCCCGCGGCGTTTGGCCGCTGGCTCGGGCGAGGAAGCGCCGTGGGTCGGACACGGCGCCGGGGACCCGCGAGCTCCCGTGGCCCTGCGCCCGCCGTCGGGCAGAGCCCCGGAACCCGAGCTGTCCGGTGTCTGCGGCTCCCGGCGTGAGCTGCCTTTGGACAGGGTGGAAGGAGTTTCAGTGAGTCGTAGGGTGAGCTCTCCTTCACGCTGCCTCGGCATTCTCTCTTCGGCATTTCCGAGGAGCTCTTCAGAAAAGGTCGGACTGTATTGCAGGAGGTCGAGTTAAACTTCTTGCTCTCTAAACCCTCTTTTGTGCAGTGTTTGCTCTGTGCACTTTCTTTGAGGAATGCCCGTATCCCAGCGGGGCTGACAGATGATAATCCATGACTCTTGGGGCCCATAACTCCTTTCGGTGTACTTCTTTAAGCCATGGATGAGAATGCTATGAGCGCTGTTCCACTGTTGTCATCCAGCAGAGCTGGACCAACTGTGGGGCTGGTACTTGTTCTGCTCTGAAGACACTTTTTTGGGAGTTGTCGCTCAGCTGAGCGAACTGCTGAGATGCAGCAACTTAAATAACCATAGTGCCTCCAAGTTAGAGCCCTGCACAAATAGTTCTTGCACTGCTCAGTCCCTTTGTCTCCTCTAGAGTACTAGTGTCCTAAGTGCTGCTCACCTGGGGGGATATGGGAGCACCAAGGGCAGCACCGAACACATCCTTATAAAATTATTATTAATGTCTCCTTCAGGCCTGAAATTCCTCTTGCTAGTCTTCCATTCTGTTAAATGCCTCGCAAACCAGAGCAAAGGAAGAGACATGAAGAGTTGAATTTCACTGCCTTGTTTGGAACTGGGTGGAAATCCTGGAGATGGATCTCTTAGGAGTCTGTCTTCCAATTGGGTTAGATGCACAGGTAACAGTAAAGGGACTTGTGGCATTTTTGGTAATTCTGCTTCTACTTGCTTTATGTTTGCAAAGAACTCTCAAATAGTGATTTAGGGCTTATGGGGTTTTCCCCCCTCCACCATATTTGTCCAGCTTTGTACTGTAACAGAGCTTAGGAGTGTTTACTGTGGCAACTGCAGAAGTCCTGCTTTAAACACTGACACCAGCAATGGTTTTCTTTAGTAGTAGGGTGAACCACTGCAGTGACAGTGCATATAAGCTTGAGGGTAAGAGGGGTAATGAAGTGACTCTGTTGCCAAGTTTGAGACATGTCTTAAGTGGAGCTGAGGGAAGAAATGAGAAGTTGAAAGGAAAGTTGGCTCTCACAGGGAGAAGTAATGGAGAGCTTCACAGAAATGGCTTTGCCAGTTCTTGAGTTTTGCAACCATTGGGGCTTGTTAAAAATCTGGCCTTGCAGCCTTGTGATTACAAGAGCTTTTCTTCTTCAACAACCAACAGGTGGGAAAAAGTGAATGGGGTATATACCTTAAAGTTCAAACACAGCAGGCCAAAGCAAAGCAGACACTAAAGAAGCTGACTGGCCACAGGGCTTTTGGAAGGACTGGGGTTGCTTTTTAAAACAATGTCTTTTCAGTTTCCATGTGCTTAGAGGTTGGGGGTTGGCTACCTACTTGTGAGCAGTTGAAGAATTAGAGCTGTCAGTGGACTGTTACACGTGTGAACTTTGTCTCTCTCTGGCCCAGCACTTGAGGACTTCTGGCTTTCACCACAAAGTCACTCGCCTCTCCTGCCCATGCAGATGGGCAGTACTGGAAGGGAGGTGTGGTAAAAATAGTTGTGTTTTATTGTTGGAGCAGAAGGCATTATCTCCTGGACAACATTCTTTTTGAGTCTTAGCTGTTTCCTCAAATGTCCCTTTATTACAGGAGCAATGGATCGCCCCAGCTACCTGGAAGAGGACTATTCTAGCCTGGATGGGCTGGACGATGACGTGTTTCACTCTGATGACTTTGGACTTGCAGGTCAGCCTGGTGAGATGACTGCAACTGGCTTTTTCACACAGAACCAGTCCTACAGCTGCCTTCTGGGGAGGTTTCAACTATTCCCCCTCACACACTGCTGTGGTCCCGGTATCAGGCATCCTGAGCAGCAGGACAAGGCAACTCAAACACTCAGCCCGTCCTCTTCCAGTCAGGATGTTATGTTGCCTTGTGGAGTCACTGAAGAGCCACGGAGACTCTTCTATGGTAAGAGCACTCCAGTGTCACTAGCTTTGCAGCAAGGAAACTGTCCCTTTAGCACTTCCCCAATCAAGCAAGGTTACTTTCATCAGGGCATGTTATTAAAGGACTGAAATTATTTTGCTTTGGTCCTACTCCCTCAAGAAGGACAACTTATTTTCTTACCCTTGCTTGTCCACTGCAGGAACCAGGCACTTGCTCATTGCTTCTGCTGTCTTTGATGTTCCCACTCTTTCTCTTTTTGGCTTTATTCTATCACATTTTATTTTACTGCTAGATGTTTAAGTGCTCACTGTACCTTGTATCCTGCAATTTGCCTACATTTTTAAACTACTACTGGTCTCATATGTATAGGAAGACTCCTAGAAGTTTTCAGTGGAAAGCGGGAAATGCAAAAAGTTAGAGCTTTTAGGCTCTTTACTGGAGTTGTCGAATAAATAGCATGTCCAGACAGTATTTTACTAGCAACTGATGTGACACCACTCAGTTTTGTGTATCGAACTCAGCTTTAATTCAAATCAGTCCCACTAAATGCGAGAAAACTGAGAAAAGTCTGGCAGAAAAGATATTGCAACCTCTAAGAGGAGACAACTTGAGGCAGAGGTCTTCTAAAACTGCAAAACTGTCATCAAAAATAAAAAACAAACCACAGGACTTGGCTGAACTATAAACAAGCAAAAAGAACCAAGTGTAAGATCTTGCCACTCATTTCACTATGGGAAGCAACATTTTACTATGGGAGCCAAGATTATATCGATTAAGCAACTCTGCTTAATCAATATAAGTCTATTTAAAAGCTGAGCAAATGTTTTACTGCATGATTATGGTACACAGTCATTGTTTGGGCTTCAGGAACTGGACTTTAACATGAGTCAAAAATTTAGGATTATGTGCAGGTCTTTCCTACATGAAGTGTGCTGAATAGAAAAGGTAATCTTCACACTGGATGAATGACTCTTCTGATCTCTGTTTTGTAGGGAATGCTGGTTACCGTTTACATGTCCCTCCAGCTGGCTTTGGGTTGGATCCACACCTCCAAGAGGAACCTCAGGAAGGTCAGCAGGAAGCACGTGCTGAGGTGCAGATTGCACGGAAGTTGCAGTGCATTGCCGACCAGTTCCACCGGCTCCACATACAGAGGGTAGGGTGTCTCTGGAGGGGAAGGTGGGGATTTACCTATCCAAGAGCAGTACTCTAGAAGACCTGCTCCAGGCATCAGCTGAGTGGGCTGTACTTCAAGGTAGCAGACTGCCCACAGCAATAAAATGGCAGGAGTATCCTGATAGATTTTTGCTTATGCTAGATTGCTGGCTCTTCCTAAAGATTGGCAGGTGGAGGGAACAGAATGTGTGGGATTCCATTTTCTGCCTGGGAAGGTAGCTATTCTGTGTTAGCTGCTGCTATTCCAGCTCTTCCAGTTTATCAGCAGCGGGGTTTATGAGGCTTTTCCAAGGGATCTCTCCCTTTTTTAGTACAGTTTTTACTCTTCTTCTCCACTTTCATCACTACCAACATCTCTTCTGTGGAACAAGTGGCCATCTGTGGCTTATGTCAGCTCCTCATCTTGGAGACAACAGGAAGCCTGGAGTCTGTTCTGACACTCCTTGTTGTCTAAGAGTAGTTCTATGTAATGTTGTAAAGTATATTTATATTGTGCTAGACTTGCTAGCAGCTCCTCTGTCAGACAGTCCTAGCTAGCATCTCAGACTTGTGAATAACTTCCTCACAACAAAAGACAGCTGTAAGGTGCCATCAGGTCTGAAAACTACACTCCAGATTCTTGATTTTGTTTCCTAAAAAGAAAAATTAAAGAAAAAAAGAAACCCTGCTATTCAAAGAAACAAAATAACCATCACCCCCAAAATCCCTGATTCTTTCTTCCTTGCCCTCCTTCCCCTGTTGAGTAGAGGTGAAATGGAAATCTCAGCCCATGCAGAGCTGGTCAGAGGTTGCAGAGGTTTGGCAGTAGGCAGCAGCTTGCCACTTCTATGCAAGCCCAACAAGGAGAGTGTGTATCTGCTTGTATATGAATACATGTTACTGACTTCAGAGGGGGACAGAAAGTTTATCTCACTCCAAGTGAGTTGCTGCTGTGGGATCTGTTGCAGGCCTTCTCAAAGGTAAGTGAGGATCTCTGTCCTGGCCAGAGAATGTGGCTTGTGGTTGGGCAATGTTTTGATACTCTCTATGTCATCTGAGAGATAAGGGAATTGAAGAAACTGTAAAAGGAAGATTACTCTCTAGAAACGTAGATGGGGCTATGAATGCCATTTAGCAAGCTGCTGGAATAACGAATTACCACGAGATTTTTAACACGTGTTGTTTGTGGCTGAGTGGGGTTTTCCCCGGTGGCGTCTTTTCGCCAGCGATAGCTGCAGACCCCACTCCCTGGCCAGGCTCTCACAGGAAAGCGAAGGTTTAACCATCTCGCCAGAGGAGCCCTGCGGTGAACTGGTGGAACTGGTTGTAACTTGATCCCTTTCATTTCGGGGGAGTGTCCATATCTGATGCCTGTGCCTTGGAAACGCGTCCAGGGGCGCCCACCCAAACCGGCCCCACCGAGGCTGCCCGAGGTCGGGCTCTCTGCTGCCCGGAGCGGCGGTGCCCGCCCGGCCGCGCTGCCAGAGCGGGAGGCCAGCCCGGCGTGTGGGAGCCGTAGTAAACAAAGCCGTCCGGCCGCGCTGGGCGGCCCGGCCCGGCCCCCGGGGCCGGCAGAGGAGGGGCTTCGCTCTTTGTTTGAACTGGAAGAGCAACAAGTTGTAAAGGGGACGGGAGCGAGGGCCTTCGGCCATTTGAGTTTGAAAACAAAACATAAGGAAAAAAAACCAAAACAAAACAACCCGAAAACTTAACTTGAGGACAGAGTAGTTCAGCCAGTGGTTATCCACAACCTGACCCTGGGATAGGCCTTGGCATTTGGATCTGTAAAGGGATTCTTTCTTGTTTGTCAGGAAAACTGAGTACGAAGCCACATATTGGTGTCCAAGGCACTGTTCCCTGTGGAGTGTTTTGTTGTCATGCCCAATCCCTTCCCTCCCAGCCCTGCATGGAGGATTTCCTTTGGCTTTTGGCAGAGATCCCCTGTGCAGAAACCCCTCTGTCCTGTGTGCAATGACTTTTCCTAGCTCGTTGCTGAAGAAGCAAGCGGTCTGCCCCTGGAGACACATGAACTGGTTCACAATGTGCTCTGGTTTGGAAGGGGCAGCCTCTGAGACATGAAAAACTGGGCTGTCGTTTATCTTGCTGTGAAACTAATCCCTGATTTGGATGCCCCATTTCAGCTTGTCTCAAACATTTGGTCAAAACCAACTTTCCAGAGTGGTGTCTTGAATCAGATTTAAAATGCCATAAAGTTAGTCACACCAGTGTGGTCTTGTGAAGTTCTGAGAGAGAGCAAGCCTGGTTTTCAACAAGCTGTGCCTCTTTTCGGAGCCTACAAAACATCTTATCTGTGAACCTGGGAAAAGAAAATGTGTGTGCCCTTTCACTGGGAGTTAGGAAAGACTTAGCATTGGAGTAGTGCATCCAGTTAGCTCAAGAGTTGCCCTCTCATGGCACCTGAGTTCTCTGAGACTCTCTAGCAGTTCAGGTATGGCCCCCATTCTCCTGCTGCAGCAGCAAGTCTGTGTTGACACAAAACTTGCTGGTTAATGTACATCCCTGGCTGAGAGAGAAACTGAGCAGGCGATAGCTGCTGAGGTTGACGTCACTGAGTTGTCATTGGCCTCAGCTGCACGCATGGTCTAACCCATCCCACACTGGGAAGCCTGGAGAGTCACTGTTATCTCTTCTCTGGGCTTCTGGAGCTAAATGGTATTTATTCTGTGGTTCTTGGCTATACAAAAAATTCTTGGGTATGCATCTCATAAGAATAAGAAAGTTGGCTGCACCTATGCTTGCTTTTGGCATGTACACCATTTTCAGGGTTTCATTTCCTATTAATATGTTAAACAGAAAAAAGTAGTTTAAAACCTGGCTTTTTCATCTTCAGAACAGTGCTAGAGCAACAACACAACATTACCTAGAACTCTGCAGCTTTTATCTCCTTAAGATGCTGAATCTATTGTAAGAGCGGCTTGAGCAACCCTCTGTGTTCCTAAGTAGCAGAGCCTGTTACAGGTTGATCCAGTTTGCAGAATGACATGCGAAACTCATCTGTGTTTTCTTGAGTTCTTTACTACCTCTTACCTGATTGAAGCTGTGTTGCTTCTGGCAAAGTTCCCCCGTTGTACTTTTTTCACCCTGCCCCTGGAAAACAAAGCTAGAGCCAAAATGTGTTTTCTTCAGGAGAACCCAGGACCTCCCACCTTCTTCTTGGTTTGGAGCAAGTGTGCCTTTGCCTGTGAACTGCTTGCTGTAGCCCAATCTGTGGCTGAGCTTAAAGACTGCACTCTGAGACTATGGAGAACAGAGCTGACCTTAGGGGATCTGCTGGTTGGTTATCTGAGACGTGCTGCCCACGCCCCACATGCCCAGGCTGTGGCAACAAGTGCTTGGGCTTTGCTTCAGGTCCTGAGCAGGTCCTGAGTGAACTTAAGTTTCCTTGCCTTGAGGAGGGGATTCAATCTGTGCTGAACCAACAATGTATTTCATAACATGATATGCAGCTAGCTGGGATGTGAGTAAGACAATCAGGGACAGTGGCAGCAGCAGCATAAAGCCACCCCAGAGGAGAACAGGGTTATACAGGGGTGGGGTGGATGACACTGTATATCAGTATCACACCCCTTCAGTTTGTCTTGCTCCATTGAGACACTGGAATGCTACAGCTTTTTTCCAAATAAAATAACTCTTTTTAAGCAGGCTGTAGCTTTGAGGGGACTGCTTTTATTGCATCTCTTCTTCATGGAGATAAGATCACTTCACAGGGGATAAAATTGTCTCTTTAAGAGCCAAGGAGTGGTAGCCTTGAACAGTTCTGGGCTCAGGTCCAAGCAGAGCCACTGACTTGCTGTATGACCTCAGACAAGTCTCTTGACCTCCTTGTGCTTCAGTCAACCCATCTGGAAAGCTCGGTTTAAAAAAAGCTGAGCCTCAATGAGAACCAGATGCTGAATCAGAGCTGAGCTTTCTTGAGTAAATAAGTGCATTACAAACAACAACAAAGCCCCTTTCCAACACATCAGGAATCCTGCAGTTGATTTGGATATGCTGACCATGCTCAAAAAGCCTCTGTGGATCTAGCTATAGAAAACTTTGTTTCTCTGAATTCCCCAGTTGGTTCAGCAAATAATTCTTACCGTTACTGCAACAGCCTTGAGCAGCCTGTGGAACACAAATGCTGGCATCCATACTGGCTGTGGGCAGACAACTAGGCATGTACCTGTTTGCCTCAAGCTAATGACAATGAAAATGTCCAGGAGGAAATGTTGTTTTCCTTTGAAAGTGAAACTTGTTGTGTTTTGCATATTTTTTCCCCTCTGTCTCTCATGAGAGTTATCAAGGTCTCCTCTGAGACACTTGTGCTTATGCAACAGGGAGCCTGTGTCTCTTTTCGTAAAGTCATTGTCATGAGAGAGTGGGCGCACAGTGCTACATGTGCATCATTTATCCCAAAGTTCATCAGGCTTTTCTTCATTCTTTATTAAGGGACAACCAGGGAATTTTTAACAGTTGCTTTTTTTACACTGGAAATGTTTGCAGGAAACTGTTCTTTATGGTGACTTTATGTTTTAGGAAAAATCTTCAGAAAAGTTTCCTATTAATGTAATACAGAGACTCAGACGGTCCTGCAGCTGAGCCTGTAGCACCGGCAGCTCCGTACTTTACTTGTACCTGCAGTCTCTTTGAGACTTGGGTAAGTGTTTTCATTCTTTTGTTTCCCTAGCAGGTCAGCACGTTTCAGGATCTTCCCAGCTGGCTAGTGCTTGCTGGTCCCTGCTGCTGCTGTGCACAGCAGTGGGTCACCTCTTCAGCTCCGCTTTCTGCACCTTGCCCTCAATGCAGGACTTGAATCTCCAGCTGAGGATGGAGGAACATGGTGAGGGAGTGAACTCCTGAAGTGAGTGAGCCTGGTTTAGAGGGCAGGGAGTAGAGTGAGTGTGAGGTTGGGAAGACTGAGATGTAAAACAAAATTCTTGCGGGCTATAGAACTGGAATCCTAGGCTTGAGGAAAGGAGGTTGCCATAGGGGGAAGAGGAA